AGTTGAGATGGGAGGTAAATCTGCAGTGCGGGCGGCACGAGTCCACGGCACCTCGTCGCGTGCGGTGGCGCAGGTGGAATCCGACATGAGAGTAGGACTCACCGGACTCGAAAGGACAAGCGGAAGATATTGATTATTGATTGGCACCGGTGAAGCCCCAGCGGCACTCGTGAAGTGCTGCCGACTCGCAAAGTAGGGATGCAAGAAGAAGGTACAACCCTATTTTAGTACTGTAAGCCTTAGGTACCGGCGATAATGGTTGCTAGCTTCCGACCAACGGGTGTCTTGGCGGTTTGTGGAGACTCGAGACAGGCAAACTTCAGACGATGTTGTCAATAGTTGATGGAACTCGGAGATTCACGTAGGCGTATGCTGCGAATTCCCCAGTGAACAGGAGGAGAAGGAATCCGAAGCACTTGCAGCCTGCCGTACCGTATCGCGGCATTGATTGCCAGGTTTCAGAAGATCAACAAATCACCATCACCACCACCATCTTCATCATCCTTGGCGTAGTCGGTGGGGGTTGATTGTGCCTGACATCTGTCGCTCAGCCGCAGAGCTTAACGAACGATAAGATGGCATCCTTGGTCCATGCTCTGCCACCCTCGGGTTGTCCTAACCGAGTCGGGTGTGTGCGACCGGGCTTCTCGGTGGAATGGTCAGGGTCGTCGATCACTCCGGTCGGTCACTTGCGTTCTCAGTGCTGTGTTGTCTGCTCTTGCGTCGTCGGTTCTTGCATGTCACCTATAAAGAGACCCCTTCAGCTGCTGCAAGTGGACCAGCCCTACGAACCCCACGAACGGCTGAAGATTCTCAGCATAAGCGCCTAAAAATAGCACAAAGACACATGGCGACGCCGACGACGATGAACTCGCAGTTGATCTCGACAATGATCTGTGAGTTACATCATTCACAAGGATCAAACGGCGGCACATCCTCCTCGGGGGATTGACAATGGCTTTACTAACCCTAGCAGTCCTGTTGACCTTTCTCTTTCTCTTCCCCGCTCGGCTAGTTGCTGCGGCGGCTTCGAGCGGAGCGTACGATCTTGTGATCCTCGGCGCCACACCGGGCGGGATCATGGCGGCCGTTGCCGCAGCCCGTGTTTCGAATGCAACCGCGAATATTTTGATTCTCGAGCGCACGTCGTACATCGGCGGACTACCGGCGAATGGGCTCGGCGCGACTGATATCGCGACAAGATCGGCGACCGGTGGATTGTTCCTCGAGTTTGTCGGCCGTGTGAAGCAGCAGTATGTCGACACGTACGGAGAGAGCTCGCAGCAAGTCAAGGATTCCCAGAATGGTTACCATTTCGAGCCGAAGGTTGCCGAGAAGGTTATGAAAGAGTTCCTGGCGGAGGTCGCAGATAAGGGTGTCGAGGTCAAGGTTCGCCGGCAGTTCGATGCGCAGGTGGAGAATGCCGAGGTGGAGGACGGGTGCGTCAAGAAGATCAAGGTCACCAACCGCGATACCGGAGCGGCCGAGTGGTACGAGGGAAAGGTAGACATCTCTCTTCCATAAAAACGGTGGGAGGATCTGGTACTGACGAGTGGGTAGTACTTCATCGACGCCACCTACGAAGGTGACCTCATCGACGCCGCGCGAATCCCCTTCTTCAGCGGCCGCGAAAGTGCCTCCAAATTTGGCGAGATCGGAGCCGGCGTGGTCTACAAGTACTGGAAGGGCGACGAGGCTGAAGGCACCACGCACGAAGGCGACGACCGAATCCAGGCCTACAACTACCGCCTCTCCCTGACGAACGACCCAGAAATCGTCTACAAGATCCCGAAGCCAAACAAGTACAACCGCACCGAATACGTCTCCCTGATTGACGACATCATTACCGGCTGCCACACCGGCTACCAAGCCGAAGGTCTCTGTCCCGGCACCGTAGGGGATCCAGACGTGCAGCCCAACTTCCCCGGCTCGCCAGTCGGCATCGACCGTCTCTCTAGCATGTCTCAGATCCCCAACCAAAAATGGGACGGCAACAACCAGCATCTTGGCTTCATCTCCACCGACCTGCCCGAGGAAAACCAGGGCTACCCCACCGCCTCTTGGGCCTGGCGCGACCGCTTCGCCGAGCGATTGAGGTCTTACATCCTTGGCCTATTCTACTTTGCACAAAACGACCCGGAGGTCCCGGAGTGGTTCCGCAACAAGACTGCCGCTTGGGGCCTGGCAAAGGACGAGTACACGGACAACAACTACTTCCCAAGGCAAGTGTACGTCCGCGAGGGACGCCGCATGCACGGTGAATTCATCTTCACATCCAACGACGCCACGCCCGCGGCGGACGGCGAGCGCCCACCTGTACACAGCGACTCGATCACCAGCAGCCATTACGCGCTCGACTCGCACGGTGTCCGGAAGCGCGAAGAAGGCCGTGCCCACCTCGACGGATTCGTGAGCTACCCCACCCAGCCCTACACCGTCCCCTACCGCGTCATCGTCCCCGTCAAAGCCGCAGGCATCAAAAACGTCCTCGCCCCCGTCCCCGTCAGCGGCAGTCACATCGGATTCTCAACGATACGCATGGAGCCGTGCTGGATGGCGCTGGGCCAGGCGGCTGGCACGGCCGTTGCACTGCTGCTCGAGGAGGGCGGCGAACCCGCTGTCCACGATCTTGATGTCGCTACCCTACAGAATCAGTTGTTTGAACAGGACGCGGTGCTGGTGTACATCTCCGGCTGGGCGAATCTGAGCAAGGAAGAGAGGATCAAGCAGCAGAAGGAGATTCTGAAAGCGGGCACGAGTGCGAAATAGTGTAAAAATTGGTGTGGTTAGAATAATGATTTCTTGGAGTACGGTGTTTTAGATGATTTGGAATTGAAGCATTGATGGAGAGTGCCTTTCGTTGTACATACCTATAGATTTGAGGAGTTTCGGGAATGAGTCTTGTAACTATTGTGTACCTCAACCATAGAGTTGGGGCTGACAAATCGAAATCGTCCTTGTGCACTGTGTGTTGCGATTCTCGTCAGAAAGCCACCGTCGGCACTCGTCCAAGATTTTGCACATCTGTCATATTAGTCATGCGCCTCCAGAGCGCCTCGAGAATCCTGTTTATTCCCATACTTTCTTCTGCTTTTGCTACTGTCTGGTATGTCTAGCTGGTCACCCGCTGTGTTCTGCGAATGAATCAAGTAACTGAATAATATGACACTCATGTTCTCAACAGTGTGCACCAAACAGAGACAAGTGACCAAGATGAAGTCCCAATTCTTCAAAGTACCTTAGATGAATGGATGCCAGCATGACTCGCCATATCACCATGACCTAGCTCTCATCTACTCGACCATATCACCCGATACGGTTACTTGTCTTGTATATAAGGATTACCGCGCCATCAAGCATCACGAACCTGCCCCTTGACATTTTACCAACCCGCCTTCGATCCAATTCCGTTCCGCTGCCATTCATCGGGACCGGCCTTGACAGCTACATATGCAAACCCCAAGACGACGACTCCTTTCGAGCACCATGCCGTGTGCACTAGACTGGTTACTACCGAGTGGGGAGATTTTGGAGATGAGGAGGGCTAGGTATGACGCACCGCCACTCTACAGCGTACAACGGATAACTCGAGCTTCATTGGAGGCCCACTTTCAAATATTACGAGGATAGAGGGATTTCGACTGTCGTTTCTGTTTCTGGGGGGGGGGGGGGGGGGAGATCTTTGTCAAAATCAATATACCTACCTCTATATACAGGCCATAACCTTAGGGTTATATGTTGCACGAATTATCAATCAATCAATCAATCAACTCTCCGAAGCGGCCGGTGAAGAAACCAAGGGGGGCAATACCGCGGGTTCCTAGGCCTAAGATCACCACAGCGAATGCGTGTACGGAGGAAGGCACAGAGGGTGTGTGACGATGTTCCCGTCTCTGAATCTCGCTACTGGGGTTCGTTTCCCCCGCCGTGTCCGAACCTGTAACACCTCGTAGCCGAGGCTCGCCAGTGTAGAGTAGTGCCGGACCGGGGTCTCACCGGAAGAGTTTCGTACCCTAACTAACCACGTGAACATCCAAAGATCCCGAACGGCGAACCCCTCCCGATGCTCGGCTCGCCTCATCCACACGAACCACCTAACCGAACTCTCGTCTCGGCGACCGACAACCCAACTCGAGAGTGAGAATCAGTGACTAGCCTTACCATCGTTTTCGTTTGTTTAATCATCATCTCATTCGACCTTAACGGATCATGGCATATGACATTTCCGCTTCCACCTAGCTAGTTATCACCGACCGCTGGTCGCGGGCTCGGTATCAGTCCGGCTCCCTATTGCTCTCCACCCAACCCTCCGCTCAACTCTCCCCGCTCAACTCTCCCCACTCACCAACCGGCCTCAAAATCACCGCGAGTCATAGTTCCCCTTTAACGAAACACAATTCGATCGAGCTACTATCATACGGTAGTAATCATGCGACCTGTGGTTGTTGCCGCTTTCCTGTTTACATTTCTTGAATCGAATTTACAATAACACAGCAAACCTCAGCCTTATCGCTCAGCCTTACCCACCAGCCTTATCCCTCCTCATAGCTTCAGGCTTCAGACTTCAGCGCCCATCTACCCTCAGCCTTATCTCCTCACAACTTCAACCCCATTCACCCTCACGTCCACGCTCACGCTCATCCCACCAGTCAACAGCTTTCCTCGGCCACAACCTTTTGCGCTCCCCCGTACCACAACTTCACCATCACCCTCACCCTCACCCTCACCATCACACCTCACCACCATCACACTTCACTATCACACCTCACAGCTCCCCCCTCCTCCTCCTCCCCCAACAACTGTCAACAACAACAGTCAACATCATCAGAAACCCTCGCAATTAACTAAATACAAGCCCGAAATCCCAGCCCGAGTATGATACCTATTCGGGGCGCACAGTAAAAAATAACACCCCAGCACCGAAAGCAAATCAAGCAAAGCAAATCAAGCAAAGCAAAGCAAAGCAAAGCAAAGCAAAGCAAAGCAAAGCAAAGCAAAGCAAAGCAATAAAAGCAATAAAAGCAATAAAAGCAAAGCAATAAAAGCAAAGCAATGAATGAACCTAACGCACGTATGCACCAGGACAGACCATTTTCAATCAAATCAAAGGAAACGGAAAACGGAAACGGAAACCGAAGCGGAAACAGAAACAAATAACAATACCAGAAGGACCCCGATTTCATTCGCCAGATACAAACCCCGAAAATACAAATGCCCCTCCTAATGGAATCAAAGCCGAACCGAACCGCGCGAGACATGACAAAACACGAAGTGAGGAAAAGATGCTGCCGCAACAATGAACGGAAAAAAAGGAAAGCAAGCAAAGAAAAGGAAAGCAAAGGAGTCCCGGGGATCTTACAAAACAAAAATCACAACCATGATTTGTACGGACGCAAAGGGGAAATCTATCATTATCGGCTCGGAAGGAAGGGAAGGAAAAAAATGCATCTAAGTATCATCCCCTCTTTTGGCGTTTCGATCCCTCGGCCCCGGCACTGCTCCGCTTCTCGGCGCCTTTCCGGAGGAATGCAAGATCTGCTTCGGCATCGTCGTTGCGCAGGCCGGGCGGAGGTGGCGCGAGGCCGGTCTTGGTCACATAGCTCATGCCAACTCCAGGTACACCGCCCAAGACGAGATTTTCCATCTCGCGAGAGCTGGCGAAATTCCTTGGAGGATTGCTTCTGGTGTTGACACCGCCGAAGCCGGGCAACGCCGGAAGGCCTCGTGTGAGCTCGGAAAGCGGAGTCAATGCACGACCTCGCTGCTCCTCCTGGTCATCGTCGTCGTCCCCAGCAGCCACAGAAGCTCCGGGAACAGGTGTGTTGGCGCCGGTAGGAGTGTCGTCGGTGTCATCACCCACGCCATTCTCGCCATTCTCTTCCCTACCAGCTCTCTCGGAGAAGTACCTCAAGGTGGCCAACGTCGCTTGGTTGGAGTGAAGCTGCAACTCCTTGTCGGTGAAGAGTTTCTCCATGGTGTAGATGGGCTTGTACATCTGCTTCATTATTTCCTCTTGCTTCCTCTTTGTTTCTTCTCCCGATTCAGCTGACTCAGGCACAGGATTGGCCGCGGACGGCGAAGGCGGCTCGAACGGATTTGAGAATGGTGGCGGCGTCGGCATGTCCTCGGACACCATCTCGGCAGCTGCACCTCGACGCTTTCGCTTGCCATTGGTATTGGGGGAGTCGAAGTTCATTCCAGCGCCGAACGCCATGAGCTCTTCGACCTCGCCCACGCGGCGACGCGGCTTGCGCCTCGTCGAAATTTCCTTCTCGGTTTCGTCGTCATACGGAATAACGCCATGCCGTCTGGGCGAACCGATTCCACCGCCCAAACTATAGTGCGAAGGATGCAGATGGAGCGCAGTGGCCTCGGCGATGTCCGTGAGACTGGCACCGATCGAAAGGGAAGAAAGCGCATTGGCCGATGCCGACGACGATTCTTTTTCGGCGGCAAGTTTCTTCAGCTGTGCCTTAAGTCGTTGCGAGAGACGCTGGGTGATGGTCGCAGCGAGAGATCGGTGTTCTTCGCGTGCATGGATAAGCGACCGAGTATGTTGCGCGGCGAGCGATGCGGCTTTCGTACGATGCGAGTTCTGATTTATTGGACGGTTGCATCAGCAGGGTGAAGCAGAGAAAAATAAGATGGCGGCGGCGGTAACAGCGAAGGGGAGGGGGGTTACACACGAATAGCAAAGACAACTGGGTGTCCCTCTCCTCCATGCTGTCGTTCACATCACGCAAGAAGTCGGAATACCAACGGCCCTGGATTCCTTCAGAATTCACATCCGAGCCCCGCACACCCATGGTGGCAAGGACTTCATCGACCTCCCTCTGGATGGCTTCACAGGAGTCGTCCATCAGGCGCATGTCACGTCCCGAAATGTCAGCTCGCTGGATCAGCTGCATGTCGACCTGAAGCGAAGCGATCTGGGCCCGGTAATGCTGCTCGCGGACTCTCGGATTCGTGGGATTATGGAAACTCTTGGTGAGCAAGTTCAACTTGTCGGAGAGGGCATTGCGACGCTTATCCCGCTTGCTCTGGGGCTGCGGAGGAGGGTGCAGATGGGTCGGGTGCGGCGTCGGCGACAGCGAGGGGGGCGTGGGTGAGGGTGACGCCATTGCTGTGTATCTGGGCGAGGGAGAATGTAGGGAGAAAGGACGGTCGATGGATGGCCGCGCAGGTGGCCGTCGATCGGAGTTGTGAGGATGGCCAGGCACAGAGGAGTGCGTGCGGTGAGGCCGAAAGGACGGGAGAAATACTGCCGAGGAGACCTCCCGGGCTGTGGTGCGGAAGGAGCGGGCAGTAGAGATGCGTGAGAAGTGGAACGGAGTCAGAGGAGGGGAAGGGTCGGAAAAGGGTGTGGAATTAGAAGGCGAGGCGTGCCGAGGAGCAAGATGAGCAAGCGGAGAAGGGTGGGGATTTTGTGGGTTTCGGGGAGAGTAGAGTGCGACCAGAGACACTACGAGCAGGCCCATGACACCTCGCCAAGCCAAATCACTCACGCACAATCATTGCACAATGTACAAGATAAGGATTTGAAGGCCTCATATGGATGGAGATAAACTTTGAAGAGGACAGAAAACGATAAATGCTTGCTTTGGCAAGAGTAGTGTATATTTTGGGTGCGGATTGTCACGTGACAGCGCGACCGCGTCAGGAACGCGGGGTAACCCTAAATTTAGGTTGATGGATCAAGCACCGAAATAATCCGCGGCTTCATGGCAACTATAACCGCCACATATCTACGAAGAAATGATGAGTTTCGGCAGTCCTCAAGATCTACAATGACTTTGGAGGAGAGAACGATAGGTAATGCAGATTTACGGAGAACTGTGGACATGGCTGATCATTCGATAGGGTCTTTTGCCGCGTTATGGTTAAAATTGTCACCGGAAAGTTAGCATTGACTGGACTGAAGTTGGAACCTTCTATGGCTTTATTCTGCCCATGCTACCTGATTTATGGGTAGAAGACAAACAACCATCGCGTTTGAATCTCTTCCGGATGACAGTGTCCAAACGATTCTGGTGAGAGTGACAGTGCTATGGTTCAAGATACTTGTGCTTTGGTTGGATATATCCACCTCACGACTGACTGATATCAACCTCAGAAGATCAAGATTTCACCTCGGCACTTTAAAATTACAATCCAGCCCGTCTATTTTGTGAAAACAAAGTATGTCCATCCCATACGCCCGCCAACCAAATCGCAATAAAAGTACACCCTCCACATGTCGACAATCGGCGCTCCACCTCAAGCTCAGCTCGGGTTCGGAGACAATCACTTGGCACAGACGCCACTCTTGCAGTCGAGGTCGTCGCTGCAGTCGTTGTAGGTTTTCTGCTGACTGTTAGTACGGGAACCAGTACCCATCTCGGGGGAGTTCGGATCAACATACGCAAGTAGCACCGGCACAGTGGTCCTTCCAGGTGCAATTATCGACGACCTTCGTGGGGATCGCAAACTTGCTAGTGTTGGTAACGCTCGGCTTGCGGGTGACGGTGGCGAGGGTTGTGGAAGCCGTTGGACTGCCCTTTCCAACGCTGACGATGTCGTTCTGCGCGCCGTTGGCGAAGCCCCACTTGGCGTTGTACGACGGCTTCTGGTAGTAGTCGCCGGAATAGGCGATGTTCGAGTTGTCGTTGGCCCAGTACATGGGCTGCTTGGGACCGGAGACGCAGCCGCCGCTCGGGCAGTACTTGGGCGCCTTCGGAGAGGAGATGGACGCAGTGCTCGAGCCGCCGGAAATGTTGCAGCGGAAGCCGGTCATGTACTGTTGGTCTTGCCGTTAGCTTGGGAGCGGGGTGGGAGTGGGGGGTTGGGGGAAGGGAACGAACCATCTCATCGGCACTCGACTGTCCCTGCCAGAACCAAGCGCAGATGCACCCTCCATCGGGACACTTGGGCATGACCTTCGGGACGTCGAAAGTAGTCTTTAGCTGCTTGACGCACTGATGGTTTACCGAGAAGACCGCGAAGTCCTCAGGTTTGACGTCCGTGAACTTGGACTTGTAGGCGATAGCGAGGCCGCATCCCAGGAGCTGTCCGGCCTCGACCGGCGTGCCGGCATGGAGCGAGGGGGTGTCGTCGGGACAGGCGTTCTGGCCGTCGCCCTGCGAGCCCCACGAGGTGAAGTCCTTGTTGCACGAGGCCTCGACGGTAACGGACTTGCCGACCGGGAGGGAAAAAACCTCGCTGGGCATGGAGGCGCTGGCCATCCCGTGAAACCACCATTGCGAGAACGACTTTCCTGACAGAGGGGTCACCGCAGTGTACCCGTCGCCGTTGAAGTCGAGGACTGACGGGTGCCACATAGCCATGTGGGCGGTCGCCAGCGAGGGCAGGATGGCGAGGAGGAGGGTGGAGGCGTGCATGATGATGGATTTGTTCTTCGAAGGAGTGACTTTGTTGAGTGAGTGAGTGAATGAACGAGCGAATGAAGGAATGAATGAATGTGAAGGAAGAGGTATCCGAGTAGTTAGTTGGTAGAGAAGAACAATCCGTCAAGGACCTAAGGTAGATATAAAAGAACAAAGAAGGAAGTATAGCGGTCTAGCAAGCAGCCAATGGAAAGAACGACAGTGGCTACGCTACAAAGGGGGGCAGTCTACAGTCAACAGTGGAAAATTATAAGATTATATCACCCTGAGGAATTTCAAAGGTCCCTTATATACAGTCCAACCGTTCCCCTCTGCACTCGCTGCCATCCAATCGTTGCCTCCTCAGCGCCCATCCAGAAACTTTGCGATGACCCATGGCCGGCCCATCGTTGGGGCCGCCCATATACGGCGGTTACCTACCCGAGCTGATCTGACATGCATTTCACACTCCCCCCCTTCCCCCCGTCACCGGAGAGCCAATGAGAACCCGTATAACCCCATCCACTCCCGCCAACCCTCGCCAAATTTCAATGCTCCCCCCAAGGTTTGGCAGGCAGGCAGGCAAAAAGCCTATCTCGCACCAGCAGTCCAGGAGTCCAGGATCACTGCGCTGGGAATATCCCGTCTGTCTGTCCGTCTGTCTGTCCGTCTCTAGAGTAGTATGGCGCTCTCCCGTAGGCTTGATGTTTCGCTTTCATCTCGATTCAGCACCATAGAGTACCAAAGTACCTACATAGAGTACCGTCCGGCCAGCTCCGACAGTCACCGTAGGTTCACACGTAATCACTCCACCCCTACCCTCACTGGTGGCTATCCCGGTGGCTGTCCCGGTGGCTATCCCGGTGGCTACTCTATCCCGGTGTGGTAAGATCCAGGCACGCATCTGCTCTGCTCTGCTCTGCATACTCTATGCATACCGGTACACACACACATACGACAGCTGCGCAGTGTGAGCATGCCTCCCTGAGGGGTGCGCAGCGTTTCATGTTCTCTACATCTACATACCGTGCATGTCTACCCGCTGATTAGTGTGTGTGCCCCGCCCGGTGAAACGTGTGGCGGCGAGTACGGCGAGTAGTTACGGCGAGTATATACGGCGTGCGAGTCGGGGGCCGTGGCCGGTGAACACCTTTTTTTTGTTCTCCTGAGATGCGATGCGGTTGCCTGGAGGCTGGCTGACTGGTTGGCTGGCCTGAGAGGCTGCGAGTGCTGCCTGGAAGCTTGAAGGCGGGGGGGCGGGGGGGGGGGGGGGGGGGGGGGGGTGAGGCTGCCATCGCCATCGCTGCATCGCTACATTGCTACATGCGCAGGGAATACCTAGGAGAGCATAGGTATCCGGACACATGCTCCAGCCTTCAGCCTTCGGTGCATACCCACCGGGCTGGGCTGGGTACTTCGGTACCCCACAGGTAAAAAAGAGGCATTTTCTTGTCCCCACTGCACTGCACTGCACAGGATACGATGCAGGATGTTTATTCCATGTTTCGTGTTTTGCGGAGTTACGATAAAGTTGAGTGGGTCCACGTCGCGAATATAGAGTAAGTACGGTAGGTATAAGGCGGGGCGAGTTCCGAGCCGGAACCAGAAAAGGATGCTGGGGGTGGTGGTGGATTTCGCTTACATATGCTCCAACTACCTAGTAGAGTAGAGTAACTCGGCGGCGCTTGAGTTAAATGTATGTATTGAAAGGAAGAATGATGAAGCTCGTTTGATTTCGTATGCAAGAGGGTGGTCAATATAGGTATGAGTGTGTGAGAGAGAATATCAATCTATTGCCGTATACCGCCTGTCTAGCCTACCGAATGGCGACCTCAAACCCGACCTGCTGTGAATGTGTGCAACCCATATTCAGCATCTACATCGAGTGAACCTCTATGTGCACTGCTCTAATTCCCTCCTGGCCCGAAACGCCAGAAAGCACTTTTACTCACTCGCCTCCTCCTCCTCCTCCTCGTCTTTCTTCCTCTTCAGCTCCCTCCTCTCCCTCCAATCGCCCTTCCTCTCAATAAAGCTCTTATTTATCTCCGCCACAGGCCTCATCTTCTTCCTATCCTTCATGGGCACATACTTCCCCCTGAGGACAGCCTCTCCACTGCCCAAGACAAGTACATGTCCCGGCTTCGCGGCCTTCCTCTTCTTCCTCTGGAGCACAGGCGACATCTCACTCTCCTCCCGCTGCCTGCGCACGAGGCCAACGAGCTGCCCAGCGAGGACCTCATCAATCTTCTTCTCATGCCAGCCCATCCATGTCGTATCCGCGAGAGCGCCTCTCAGATCGCCATCATCAGCGACGAGCCACCTCAAGTCGTCGTTGGGGAAAACGCAGTCCCACAGGACGAGCGGCCGGTCCTCGGCCATCTCGTACATGGGCTTCGTCGGGAAGCGGGCGATGTCCAGCATGTCGCGCACGATCTCGGGCTTCTCGAGCCCTTGGCCCACCAGGAACAGAACCGCCATCATGTGCCGCACCTGGTGCCACAGGAACGCGGTGCCCTTGAGGTTGAAGTAGTACGTTTTCGCGGATGTGACATCGCCGCTCGACGATGGCAGCTCCTCGATCGACGCCTCGAGGATGTCGCGCGAGAAGTTGTCGATCTGCTTCGCCGGGTCGAGCTTGCAGAAGTTGCGGAAGTCGCGGCTGCCGAGGAAGTACTGTGCAGCCGTCTGCATCGCGGCGATGTCGAGCGCGCCGCCGGGGTTCGTCGGTGATAGCATCGGGTTCGTGAAGAAGTAGCGGTAGTGTCGCGCGCGGCAGTTGAAGCGCGCCGAGAACCCTGCGGGCGGGTTGGGCGCCCACGCGAGTATCCGGATCGTCGGTGGGAGCAGCCGATTCAGGATCGCGGTGTACGGCATCTCGTCCGCGATGTCGTCGAACGGCGCTGGTTCTCCCTCCTCCTGCCCGTCGATGTCCATGCTCGCAGGCAGCGGCCGGTTGCTCCGTACGCGCACGCCGACCACCTGGCCGAACGCCGAGACGCCGCGGTCGGTGCGCCCGCACTTCGAGTACTCGACGGCGTCGTCGCCCGGCCACGCCTCGGGCGATGTGGGCTGTGGGT